TGGAGCTTGAGATTGATTTTCTCCATGGTTTTATATATTTTTCATTTATCAATTTTCTTAACGTTTTTCCTGCTTTGCCTGGCAAAAGAAATTGCAATTTTAACGCATGACAGGGCATTCTCAATGCGCTTCAAGCCAAATATAGAAAGAAATTCGCTCACAAGCACTTGAGCCATTCTCTATTTTTCTACTTAGACATCGTCGCGTAATCGAATATAAATTGAATTTTTCCCAACAAATGGAATTTTCTCAAGAGTTTTTTTTTCTACCTTTTTACCTCTCGATTGCATTCAAATGAAATAAGCTTACGATTAATATTATGCATTAATATTGAGCGGAACTTTTTTATTTTCATTGCTGACAATGAAAAAAATGGTATGTTTGGGCGCAAAGAAAGCATAATAATAACATTTTTTGGTCTTGTTTCATTCCAGATTATAAATTTCAATTAAATGAATTTATATCGTGGGTTAACAAATTTTATATAGTTGGGTCACGATTTTTCAAAGGGCTATTGAAGACAAAAATTTAAACGGTTTCGAAATTAAATAATACCATTAGATTAGGTATATTTATTTACAATTTTTTAAGAGCTATCGAGTACTTTTGCCCTTGAGGTCTTATGTCTATTTTAAGTTAAGTTCGCTTACCTAAAAAAATGTTTCGCGATTTTTCTCACGAATTTTCCGTTGTCCCCTTTTCCCTGCACACTTGCTGTCTGATTGAATATTTTGTTCGTTTTCCATTTTAAGCTGTCGCCCGCACTTGTATTTTTCGTCGCAACGGCGTGTTTTGCACTTGATGCATACATATATTTTGCATTTATTGTGACCAGAGCTGATATAATGTATGCTAGTCACGTCTAGCCACTTGTGTCCTGGGCCCAAGTTCCAGCTTTCCCAGGTTTTCCCCTTCTGTGGCTGCTCTGCCCTGCTCTGCTCTCGTTTTGAGCTCGTGCCTTCACATTCACTTAGTGCAAGGCTGTGCGCTAAAGCTCTTTTGCATATTGATATGGCTCGTGCGAAACCCAGTTACCTTTCATATATTTTCGGTGCCAAATTGAGACCTATTTGCACTGAAATATGAGTTACCACTTCTAATTTTATCACTCTCCTCCAAAAAAGAGCAAAAGTTGTGAGCATTTCTCATTAATTGTGACATTTTTCAAACACTTTTAGAGCGCGTGTTCAAGTGCCGTGTCTAGACGAAAGTTTACGCTTTCGACAGGTAACAGCCAACAAACAAATTAAAACAAACGGCAACATTTCAGTAAACTGACCGACCCCAAGCCAATTCCTAAATAAATGGAGCCTTCGAAATGTTGTTGCAAATTGTTAGCTCGTGTCCCATAAAAGTGCACATAAAATCAAAAAGGGGAAAAATACGGGGAGTGGGATTGAAAAATGTGCGAGTCTCAAACCATTTTCCAAAAACCATTCCATTTTCACATGGCACGCCAAGCAATTAAAGCGGCCCATCCAAAACTCCGGCTCCATGTTGCATGTGGCAAACTTCTGGTGCCTAACTGGCGCCCAAATGGCGGACATGACGACGGCGGCGCCCCAATGTCAGGCCATTAAAGTTTAGTGGGCGATTTTGCATAGCGTTTTGCTGAGCCACCGAAATACGCGCCAAGAAGGAAAGCCGAAGTAGAAGCAAAAGGAAACCAGCTAAGGAGGCAGCAAAGTGCAGCAGACGTTTTCCTCCAGCCACGCCCTCGACCGCCTACGACAGCCCATCCCCAAAAACTTTTGCCGAAGCTCATCAAGCCGAAAAAGTTTGGCCAGCGATAAATCAAATTTTTTCGTTGCTTGTTAACTCGTTCTCTTAAATTAAGTTGAACATTAAGGCCCGAAAAGTAAGCTCGAATTTTACGTAATTTTAAGAATTTCCTGTAAGTGAAGGGGTTGGTGTGGAAATGCGGCGCCTCGACTGACAGCTAATGAAAATATTTGTCGGAAAGGGCGGTGCATGTTTTTAAGGGCTCTGTAATAGCAGTGAACCAGACTTGCTTTGAATAAATATTTTAAAAAGTCTCAGAAATTTTTGAAATGGGAAAACGGGGGAACTATTTAGTAAAAGGACAAGACGGTCAAGTTTTATGTACAAACTAGAGATGTATATGAATGATATATACCCTTGCAGAGGGTATTATATTTTCTTGTAATTGTTATTTCCTTTTTCATTATAATAAATCTTCTTGCTCATCTTAGCTCTTTGTGCTTCCACTTTATTTGCATTTGTAAAATGCGCCACTAAAATTGTAAAACATTTTTTTAGTATAATTCGCACATTTATTTTTTCAAAATAAGTGATTGATAAATAAAGAACATCCCTTAAGAGTGAAGCTTATATGAAACGATATAAATCTCGTTTCCTTTTTTTAACCAATTTCTCATGCTAATACCATAGTTAAGATCGACTCCAAGATATTTAGATTGCGCGCAGACTGGAAACATATTCCCAGATGTTCATCTTTGATCAAACAGCTATTTCAAGTTGCTCGTCTCGGGTTTCCCCTCGACATCCATCAAATCGGAGCGCCCCCATTGTGTGCAGTCCCACATCAGTGCAGCCACTAACGGGTCAACAGCCCATTTCATGTGATTACTCACAAAGCACAGCTCTGGGAGGATAACCTTTCCGATTCCCACTCCGAATTCGACTCCGACTCCGATTCACAGGCAGCAAGTCCCTGGGCTCAGGACGCTTGTTATTGTCATTGTTATCAACGCTGTCAGTGCAAATGGCGACACCAAAATAGCAGCAACAACAGCAACAAAAACAACATTGCCAACTGGGACAGGACATTGTGTTGGTCCTGCAGTGTCTCATGTGGGCATATGTTAAACATTTTGACACTTTTGCGCACGGTTTAACCGAAAGCCTACGAACATCCGCTGAACTTTAACATTCTAATGGAAGTTGATGAGGGTTCTCCTGCCTCCGTGGAATACCTCTCCACGCAACTATTTAAATTTCCAAATGCTAGAGAGCCGTTGTCGCAATATTGGGTACAATCCGCAATACTTGTTGTTTTTTTGTTCTGGTTTGTACCTATGTTGGATTGTGTAATTTTCGGTGACAGTGCGACGATAATCAGCGAACTGAAATCAACTGCTAGCGGAATTTTACAGCGAGTTACCATTTTGTGGCTATTTTACCGACTAAACCACTTTGGTGGTTGCCACTGAGCTTTGCCGTGGTTGCTATTCGATGATTTTGAGGATAACGGCGGGCATCGAGTTATATTGAAACTTAATTAAGTGCCGGCACCAATGCAAAATCCACCTGCGCCCTGGAGAAGAAATGGAAAATAATTGTTTGGCGGTCACAGACACATGTTTGCCAAAGGTTTTACTCGATTTTTGAGACTTGTATTCAAATCCAACCAGAATTTAAACATTGTAGTAATATTTAAAGTTGAATATTTTAGGCTTACTTACATGTTTATCTTATAAACTATCCATATTAATTTATAAAGTTTTCACGTGTGAAATTTAAATAATATCATTTATAAATGTTTTAAATAAAATGTTACCCACTTTAAAGATGCTGTGAAAATATGTTTAATTTATTTCCCACGTTATCCCCCTAAATAATTTCTATGGTCTTATCTACATCTCAACTGACTCACACCAAAATGTGTAAACATGGAAATCAAATTTTAAATGCACTTCGATTGGATCTTTGCGTTTGTTAAAAATTACCTTTAAAGAGTAATAAAGAATTATGTGGAGACAGTTAATACCCGCGAGACAAAAAGCGGCTGGCTTATCTGCACCACCACCCCGCATTCTTGGGTACAACAATTTTCAAATCGCTTTCTTTCGGCTGGCAACGAAATTTGGGTATAGCCCCTCCTTTTAAGCCATTTCCCCCACTTTTGTGTCTGCCAATTTACGTTATCGTTTTCAAATTGAAAATTTGCGTAATCACATTTTAAGTGAAAATCGTTTTGCAAATTAAATTAAATCGATTTCTTCGAGACGATAATATGGGGGATGAATTGGGGGAAAATTGTTCTGCCAAAAGTTGCAAAGCTTGTAAATATGCATTATGGTTTTTCATTTCCGCTTCCGTTTCGGAACCAGAGCTTAAAGCTCTGAGATATATGCATCTGCAGTTTCCTTTTGGTCCTTGCAATGTCGCTGGATTGCATCTCAAAGACCCATCAACGTCATCAAATCGTTAGTCAAATACGAGAAAAAGAAAAAATATTTAAGTTCTTTGCTCTTCTCTCGAGTCTCTCGTGGCAATAAAAATGATGAAGTACTTCGGACTTCGAGTAGGAATGGGTTAGGAACAAGAGCAAAGAAGTTGAAAAGGCTTGCATTCCCGGCATATTCTTTGGTTTTTAAACTTACACAAAAGGGGTATATTCAAATTCTCAAAATGCAGGAATGATACTTGATATTTCTGATATTAATTGTAATTTCCTTTAATAAAAATTCAGTTGGAAAATTGTGCTAATATTGTATTGTATTATTATAAGTAAAGATTGTTTCATATGAACTTTAAATTTTTAGAAAGTCATGAAACAATGAAACTGGAATATTGTTTTTGCTATACATGTACGTGACACTTGTAAGTAAAATTGATTTAAACTTATTTTCTGGTAAATAAATTGTATTATTTTTACCAAAAGCTAAAGAACGGTATCATAATATAGTTTAGCTATTCCCTAAACGACTGAAGCTCTGAATTGCTAGAATTCAGAAGTCATTTTCAGCAAATTAGGGAAATTAAATTATATACAACTGCATTTGCTTACGTTAGAGAACAATACGATGCAAAATGCCTTGGATTTATTAACTTTTGATTTGCATATCACTGCAGTGTTGCCTTCTCAATTTTATTAGGAAAGAGCGACTACCCTGGCTTTTTAGCAGTTCAGCAACATTTTCGGCAGCCCCCACAACGAATCATTTTCAGCCAGTTGAAATTGAATGGAACTCAGAGACTCAGTCGTTTTGGGGAAGTGAAAATTTGAATTTTACGTTTGAGATCATATTAGCGTTGAGTTGTCACAAATTTATACATTTAAGCTTTTGTAATTTCAAATGTTATTAGCATGTATCTTAAATTTTTTATCTGGGTGATTTTTCTGAAACCCCTTGTAGCTATAGTGCCCAATGGAGTGACTATTAAAGAACGTAAGTCTTAAGATCCATACAGTTAGCGATTGAAAACGAAATCATACTCTTCCTTAGCAAAATGCTGGTATGTGGCAAATCCCGGACCCTGTGAAAACTGGGTCAAAGTCTGGGGTTACGATTACATGACCAATCGCTGCATTTTCTTTTATTATGGTGGATGTGGTGGAAATCCGAATCGGTTCTATACAAAAGAAGAGTGCCTGAAGACTTGTCGGGTGTATAGACCGCCAAATCGGATAAAAAGGGAAGGCCAAATAGACGAGGAGGAAGAGGAGGAGTTTGAGGAGGACATTGACAACTGGGACCAATGGGATAAATCGGAATTTTGATCAAAAAAGGGTATTCAAATATCGCCATTCCGGAGAGCCGATTAAGTCAAGCTAACTTTTGATTCGTTGTGCAAACGCATAATTTCAGTTTGAAAGAAAGAACTTCCCGTCGAGTTGGTTGTAATGCGTTTTCTTTTAGCCATCTACTGCTATTCCCTATTCCGCTACTCCGAATACATATTTCTCTAGACGTCTGTTTGCTGCCAATCTGAGCGACGGCCATTAAGTCAAACAGTTTGAAGCAATTTGAGAGCTGCACAGAGGACTCGGCAGAAATATCCTGTTCTCGACTCCAAGGGTTATTTATCAAACATTTTATGTGTATTGCGTTGCGATTCTGACAATTTTTGACATGCAATTTGCAATTTCCATATGCTGCAACCATATTTCGGTTGTGGATTTTGACATTCGCCTGCAGGCTGCGATAAGTTTTGGCAGCGAATGCAGATGAGGCTCATCTTTGTTGATACTTTGCCCAAATCCGCAGAGATACCTTTTACTTTTCCCACTTTAATTTATGCTCCTACGGAAAGCAGTCACAAAAGAAAATGCCCTGCTAATTGGAAAGAATTTTGTTTGCCTATTCTGTGCTCTTTACATGGACCTCTGCTCGTTAGGCTTAATTAGCAATCATAAAAGTTGTTCCCAGTTAAATGTCGAACATTCTTATTTGGTCATGTGACACTTTCGTGTCCTGTGGTGTCGGGCAGCAGGATCTGAACCTGAATTTGTGCCTTAGAGGTGTTTCCCAGCCACCTATTTGACTTTCTGCTCACGTTGCTTTTCTGCTCCTTCCCTTTGTTCGTCGTCCCCCAAGACTTTTATGACTGATTATGTTGTGTTCCGGCCATTTAATTGCCACTTGGCTCTGGATGTGACTACTTTTATGGTTAATGAGCAACTTGTGGTAATTTAGGGGGCTCGGGAACGACAGGGATCAGGTGTGCAGACAATGCCTGGACTTTTTGGACGGGGCAGCCAATTAAATGGGTAATATTTCGGGGTGAGTGGGCTGAGGAAATATAAATTAAAAAGAATGGCTTGTGGCCTTCTTTGAAAATAAGGGAAAAGTAGCTTGGGAACAATTAGATCAAAGTTTGTCTATAAAAAAGGTTTGATTTTGTAGCTGATGTTCATAGGTAAGTATTTCCTTTTATACTTAACTATTAAAGCTAAAAATATTTATTGTTAAAATTTAAACTTTTTTTTCGATATTTTTGCTTGATTCAACTTAAAAAACCAAAGAGAAATTTTCCATATAAAGTGGAGTATCAATGTCTTTCAGCTTATTTAACTTTTATTATTCGATGTGTAAATCAAGAGCTCAACTCGCTGCTTGTCATCTTAATTCTGACATCATCTGTTGCTGGTGTCCAACATCGTTTGACTGTTCTGCCAGTTCAACGACTTGAAAAATCGTTCACAATAAATTAAATTTCAGAAGGACTTGCTTCCGGGACGACACTCCGCTCAAAATTTAAATAGGTCAAATATGCATTTAATTTCCGCACGAATGAAATGAATTTGTCTGGAGTTCAGTAAGCGTTCTGTCCCTCGTTTTTCCAACTCCAGTGCTTCCAGCTGCTGTCAAATACATAAAGCACAGGCGAAGTGTGCCTGCCTGCCTGACTGACTCACTGTGAATGTCCTGGGCAGCCCCTTCTCCGTGATCCTTGCCATTTCCCGGCCCAAGCCACCTACTCTCGAGTTCAAGAGAACACGTGTTTGGGCCAACTTCTGTCTCGACCATGGACTGTTCCTACACTTAGCTTATTTGGCTCCATTAAAATCTTGCTAAATAAATATTTAATGCGTGAACAACTGGTGAGTAGTGGGTGGGTGGTTGGTTGGTAGTGTGGTTAGGGGGCACCTCCCCAAGGAACCTTCGGAGCAACAGCCTGGCCAGATGATTTATGACCTTCGCTCTTGGTCTGGCCCTTTGTTCGCCCCTCCCCACGAACTGCCTCTTCTTCTGGGCCCGGCTAATGGTTCATAATTGATTTTTATGCCTATTGTGTTGTTGGCCATCTTGGCCCGAGTTGGCCATTGCTGGCAGTCTCTTTCAAATGGCGCGTACATAATGCGACGCACTGCACCAAGGCCTCATTACAAATGGTTGGGGCGGGGGGCGTATTAAAAACTTATAATTCCTGCTATTGGTGGTGTTCATAAATCCCCTTTTATTGCCCCAAAATGTTGGACTTAATGAAGCAGTGGCGGTCAAATGGCTTCCTGGTTATGGGATCAATTTGGCGGCTTAGAAAACCCTCTTCGAATAATGAATTCAAATATTGAAAGGTCCGAAAAATGGTAGATGTAAAGAAAAAAAGTGTAATTAAGTCAACATTTAATTTAAAGCATCCAGATAATTTGAGCGTTTTTAAATATTTGTCAAATCTTATCAATATACAACATTTGTTTATACCATAATTATATTTTTTAACTTGTAAGCCTTCATCCTTTCGTCCAATGCAATTTATTTACTTTAAAGTTGTAAATGAACAAAACGTACAACAAATTCGTTTGTTGCAAAAATAAAAATAAAAGAAAACGAAAGTTAATCTAAGCCATATGACTATTAAAATTAAATTAATTTGATTTGTTTTATTTTATTAATATGCAGGTATGTCTCCTTAATATCTATTATAAAGAACGTTCTTTTTTAAGCCCTAGTTTAGTTTAATAAGAAAATAGAATAATCGGTTTATATTATGTCATTAGGCTAAATTAAATTTGGAGACCAATTCCAATAAAATTAGTTATTATTAGCATATTAGTAAATCAAAAACTTTTAAGAAAACTGAATAAGCTAAGAAATTTGTAAACCTCCTCAATTTAAATACTATTTTAAAGAATATTCCAACTTTCGTTATTTCCCTCTATCAAATCTACATTCCTCCATTAATATCTACAATGTACCTTAATTCTCCATCCCAATCCACTTGATTTAATAACACCAATAAGATCCCAAAGCCAAACACCCAGACCCCAACGTAATTCGCCCCATGTTGTCTTCAACTAAAATCTAAATAAATAAATGTCCATTTTGGACACCTACGAACGTGCCCCGTAGCAATTCGGGGTTATTTTGGTCTTATTTTGGGGAAGCTGTCCATGTGCAGTCGCCACGTTGCTTGGGGGCTGGCATTCCGGGCATATCATGCGTTTACTTTAATAATGCGCATAAATTGGTAGTCGTATTCGGACCTTTTGACTGCTTCATTCCTTGGCTACGGAATCGGGAATCGAGTGGGGAGCATGCCAGCGTTTCATTTAGCTTTTGTTTGACTTGACACCCCTTGTCTGCCCTCCAACTACCATCTGTCTGCCTGTCTAGTCAGACCCTGTTGTTTTCGGATCCCAGACTGACCCCGAGAATATTTTTGCCAGCGTTTAATCTTTAATTTTCCGCCCCCCCCCCCTAACCAGACTGTCTGTCTATCCAACTGTCGGTTCTCCCCCTTCGAATCCCTGACTCAATTTATTTGTTTTAGCTTCTGTCCTAAGGGCTGGGGTATTCGGTTGGATAGTAAGGTATGCCGCATTAAATTAAATACTTAGCTGCTGCTCGGCACCGCTTGGCGTAAAAATTATGCCAGCATTTAAGTGTTTAATATCCGCCGGAGACTTCTGTGGACCCACTCGCCTTGGCTTTGCGTTGTCGGACCGCTCTGGATATTTATTAGTTGATTTTAATGGAAAAACCCCGGCGAACACTTGGCATACATAATTGTTGCTGGCGGAGACTTATGCCAAGACATAAAACTAGAGATTTCTGGGGTGTAGGGAAAGCTGATGTCATGCAAATTTAAGTGGGCTTTAGGCAAATACTTGTAGATGATGCATAAATTAAAGGGGAAATCACAAGAAAATTAAAGTTTTTATGATCAGATAATTTAATTGGACAGACTTCTCCTCAGTTGGGATTTTTCGAACAAGATTATAGATTTGGTTAATTAAAGTCTGGGTGCATTGGAATCAATCTCTTAATGTAATGCTAGATTTGACATTAAGTTAACTTCCTTTACAAATACTTTAATTTTTGAGAAATTATTTTACAATTTATCTAATAGAAAATATTTAACCAGCTAAAGTTATAGATAAATTTGTAATTTTGAAGAGTTTGTAAAAATTCTTGCTAAGTAAATTAAAATAACATTGAAATAGCAAAGTGTTTTTTTAACAAATAAATTCAAATTAACTTTTCTGCCAGACTACCAACTAGAACCACCAATTATTAAGTCGAGAAATAGGTCCTAAGTCGTATTAAAGGTTTTTAATTATTAAAATTCAAATGTATTTCAAGTACTATTTATTCAATTATCATATTTGCCAATACCTACATACAACTATATACGAATTGCATTCACTCTACTTAACCGTCTTAAAGTTCACATACCTTTTAACACCTAACACAGCCCGCCCATTCTATTTCCTATGCTAACCTGCCCCCTGGACAACTTTAACCATACCATAAACGAGTCCCCAACCATTTCCTATAGACCACAATGCTTCTCTGCTTTTCACAACCAGAAAAACACCCAAAGGACCTGGCAGCAACAAAGCTGCACTCAACGCAAATGCAATTCAAGGGAAGGAAAAGGACGAAAAGGACGAAAATTACGAAAAGGGGGGAAAAGGCGTGGCAGGCAACGAAGGCAAACCCAAAGTGGTATCCTATCCTATCCATTCGGCTGGATCTGCTTCTGTGGCCTGCTCCTGGCAGCAATTGTTAATAAGATTTGCACATCATTTCACGTGTCTCGACCAACTGTCTGTCTGTCCGGGGTGTTTTGCTGTATATTTGCATGCAATAAAGCCGCAAGGAGCTGGGTACTGCCCATCACCAGTATTCATTGTCTTCTCGCACTCCTCGGGGTCTATTGTCTGTTTGGCATTTTATGGCGTACATTTAAGCCGGCAACTGCAGCTGGAAAATATCAAGAGATGTGCCTAACCCTTGTCTCCGATTTCCGGCCGGGCTGCATGTGCAATGGCTGACCATTATTGCATTTTTTATGGCATTTTTTTTGACACATTTCTAATGGAATTTCCAAGGGCCAAGGGCCAAAAGGAGTCATGTCCCTCGAAATGTCTGGCCTTTAAATATTGA